CTAAAGTTTCGTCGGAACGAAGTTACGGAAAGTTAATTAACAAACGGAGACGTAACAATATGATTATTTTAGTCTTAATATAGAAAGTTGGTCAAGGTAACTATTAAGTTTCTCTCAAACTAGTTATTCACAGAAATAAGTAAACCGACAAGAGCATCACATCTGCATAGTGTATTTTATAAAGAATTAATTAACAAACGGAGACGTAACAATATGATTATTTTAGTCTTAATATAGAAAGTTGGTCAAGGTAACTATTAAGTTTCTCTCAAACTAGTTATTCACAGAAATAAGTAAACCGACAAGAGCATCACATCTGCATAGTGTATTTTATAAAGAAAGCGATAGTGCTATTTCCTGCTGGAAAATCAGATAATTCCTTATGGACACAATAACCCTTGCTTTAAGTGAGGGTGATCGGCAGTCACGTAAGTAGTACCTATAAATTAAAACCTTTGTATTTTTTGACAGTATGGTTGTGTTTTTTTGTTTTTTTTATTCATAAGGCTTCTTTTATTTTTCGTCTGTTAATGTTGTCTTCTACTGAGGATTTTTACCTTAGAGAAGAAAAACAATGATTGTTCGTATAAATATGTTGAAACATTGGCATGGGGTTTTTAAATATTCATGCAAACAAGTGGAAAGTTGTTTGTTTGTGTCACCAATATAGTAGCTTTTGCAATCAGTATGCATGTGAATGTCCAGTACTTCGTTTCTTTTAAACCTCAACCAACCCCCTTGTTCAACACAATGTTTTTGTTTTTTTCGTCTTCTGTTGTTTATCTGATACTTATCAGGCAGGTGGTAGCAGTGCCTATGTAGGGATGGCTCGGATTGTTCATTGAAATGGTATATAAATATCTCCTTCGTAGGTCATTACAATTTTACAATACTATACAGTGTTTCCTTTTATAATAATATGTAATGATTGAGTCACAAGTTCTTGGAATGTCTGTAAATGTCATAGGAAAAAGTTTTTATTTCTTATTATTTTTTCTTCTGCTTATTTTTTATTACATGATAACTCAAAAATCAAAACAATGGTGTCAATCAATTTTACTAAAGTGACAAAGTTTGAAATGGAGTATTTGCTTTTATAAGTATTATTAATAACTAGTAATAACTACGATGTTATCATTACCCCTTGAAGTTAGCTTTCTTACATAAATTTGGTGTTCCTGTTACGACAGTGAAAGTCACGTGACGCTGGGATCATGCGCGCTGGAGTTCCTTGAAGGATCATGAATTATCGAGGAACCCTGCGAATGTCCGAGTGTTGGCCAGATGCCCTCTTTTTTAGTAAATAAGCCCGGCAAATAAAGCCAGCGATAGATAGATATGCAGATAGATTGAAGTTAGAGATAACTGAGTCAAGCGAACCGTAGACACCGTAAGTAAAATGTGTGAATCACTGTGATTTATAGTGTGTGTTATAAAGGTT